TCTGGCATCAATGATTCCAATGATTTGTCAATATACATAAAGATCTATTGTATTGTTGTCATTAGTCATATTTTCCGACACTATCATAAACACTACTTATATCAATTACATCATAAAAACTATTAAAATACCATATTAATTTGGGAGGTTTGTCTAGTCTCCCGGGTCACCGTAGATGCTTCTACACCTTCTAATTTGATGCTCATATTGAAAGATTGAAGAGAAATTGAATTGATTGATTTGATGGATCAGGAAACAAGTGATGGAGAAAAAAAAATTTTACAGATCGCTCTTATACCCATATCTTTCTATTATCTGGTTATCACAAATTATTACGCAATCTTTCTATTATTATCCTGGAAATTTCGAGAACTATATTACGGTCAATGTGTCTGAGTTTAAAAAAATATGAAACTAAGATCAAGTCACGTAATGCAAAAATAATTTAATATTAATATAGATTAATAAAGTAACAAGTTTATATGCCGTAACATGTGAGCATGACTGCGATTGAGGCCTGATATTTGCTGTACTACGATTGTTAATGTTGCACTATATCTCATCCAGTGTATTTTTACGCTGAAATATAAACCGTATATTAAAGTTAACAGATGCTAATAGATGGGTAACGAAAAAATATGAGTTATATATTAAACACTTGTCTGCAATTTATATATTAAGTTTTAGATATTATGGATTGATTATAGATCGAAAATTTGGGATGCTTGATTAACGAAACACTTAATTTTTTGTACTCTTTCGGGATAACAATTTCTGGTTTTTCATCATACCATACCTCAAGTAGGAAAATTCCGTTATCTTGACATAGGGTTCTTTTTTTCCGATCACGATTAACAATATCCTCGAGTTTTTTGACATCTTTATACCAGCTAGTGCTATGAAGCCGATGCTGAGCCCCTTGTACTTCTAATGCAATTCAGTATTTTTGAAAGAATGCATCAAGTTCTAATCCATTTAAGAAAGGAGGGCGATACTCAATTATTGGTTCTTCATTTAGAATTTCTGCAACTATCTTAATGCACTTATTTTGGAACTTACGATTTTTCTTAGATATCAGCTTCTGTTCCAATTTCATAATTCTAACCATAAGATCCTCTTTTTCTTTCACGGTCTGTTCTAGTTTCACGATTTTGGCCATAAGCATCGCATTTTCGGCCTTAAGTCTGGCTTTCTCGAACTCAAGACTGGCTTTCTTATCCAAAAGCTTAGCTTCCTCTTCTAATAAATCTAGTTCGGATTGCATGGTTAATAATAACTTTTATATAAATGCAGATTTATTCAAAACTTCGAGTTGATTAGAATCCGAGAACGATATATAGG